TTGATTAACATTAACATTAACCTCAGTCTATTAGCAGAAGCTTAAAAACTGACGAAATTTTTTTTTGCTAGACCATGAACTTTCCTAAACTTTTGTGATAAAACGGAAATAACACTGATTTCTGTAATATCTGGCTTCATAAATTATTACATACTGAAACTGTAATAGCTACGAGATAACATTATTGACTGTCATATACTTGTTGTAATATCGCTTTCTGTTAGGCAGTTAGTTTGATCCGGCATGGTGCGCTTAGTTCAATACGCATTAATAACTGAGTTTAGGTTGTTAAAATTATTCTTTAACACTATGCTCCATTTGCTGTAAAGCTCTTAGTAAGTTTTTACGACAGCCTAGCTGTAGGATGGTGAAAGGCCTTTTTCTAAAGGTTGTACAGATGTGTCTAGTTGCCGCGCATTTTCAATCGTTTCATAGGCCGAATATATTAGATATATGCAGAAAAACAGGATAGATAACAGCCTGCTTCTCCTCTGAGAGAGACTGTCCATTCTTGATTTCTTTTGAGTAACAAAATAAGAAGTTCCTCAGTTAACATTTGTCAATGATGCTGAGCATTCTCAGAACCGTAGGCATTACCGTCAAGAACTGAACGATGTTTCATGGCAATAGGAAATCGACATATATAACTACAGTCAATAACACTTCATTACCAGCGTACATTTGTCTTCACCTTCTTTTCGGGTCAGGTAGCAGACGCGTCAGACAGTACTTCCAACGTTTCCGATCTTTTGTAAGAGTCTGAGCTTCGGCAGACGACAACTGAATTCTGGAGCAGAATCCTTATATATATTTGCACCAGGTTAGTTTTGGCCTTCCACTGAATTTTCTACCGGTCGACTAAGCAAAAGTAATTGCTTCGCCTTCTTTTCTTGAGCCATTCGCAGTGGTGACTTCTCAATCTGAAAAAGCAGCGGCTCTACGCTAAGGCTATAACGGATTTTTGTACGCCGGGCCCTATCGAGACGCGTGGTGACTAGCGAGCGAATTTTAGCGGTTTACACCCGAAATCTACATTTTTCAGTCATGGTCCACATTTAATAATCGTAGGTAAGCATTACCCACCTGCGAATCTATCAAAAAAATGGTAAAACATAATAACAAATGGAACAGTAATTGACTGTTAGATGGTTTTGTGGACATTCTTAGCTATTTGTATTCCCATTTTTGTATTTTCCGTTGAAATTTATCATCTCGTCTTTGGAGCATGGAGAACAGTCATTCCATCGTCATGCGCAGTGTTGCGTTATCATCGGCCTTATTCGATCAACTGCTGAATTATGGCCTCAGTAGTGCCATAAATTTACGTTTTCTGCATGTCTTGTTTACCTTCTTAGTAACTTCTTTAGCTCATCCCGCCATCGATCTCTAGATCTTCCGATGGATTGTTTGCTATCTTTTGGAATCAAGTTTACGGGGCAGCGATACTGGGGTCTTTCTACAGTATCCTGCCCATTCAATGTTTATCGACAGAAAATTAGTCGGACAATTTTGCAATGCTACCTGTGAATCACGGTTAAAGCTGAAACGGTACTCAGAATTCATTTCTTATCCAGACATTAAATGATTCAAAGAGGGTTTTTTAAAACTGGCTGTTTAAACTGGAATGAAATATTTAATGTCAGAATAGTCATGTACGAAAGAGACATTAATATCAGTTTCGTGTTCGTAACATCGAATTACGTAACCCTTTTCGCAATTCCTCGACGTCACCATTGCCTAGTCTCGACGCTCACGCTCGTCTGCCTCATGCGATTAGTCGCTGCAAACGTTTATGTCTCTTTGAGCTCATCGTCTCACTAAAGCTGTGGTTTTTCAGTTCAAGACTTGCAGCTCCTTTGTCAACAATCCCTCATTTCTGAAGTGCATCTTTCATTCGTCTGTGATGCCATGTAGCCTGCCGTGGTCTGACTCAGGCTACTGGGGGCCAGTCGTGTTTTAGCAGTTGGCATTTTTCAATGGTGGCAAAGAGTTTTCGCCATGTTATGATTGCCATTAACCCTTCACGATGTCAGACGTCTCTGACCAAACGCCTATTTGCGATTCATCTCTAACGAATCAGTTCCAGGGTTTTGTAAGTTTTTTCTCGTTAGGAGTTTTCTTCGGTGAGCTTTGAAACTGCCACTTCTACTCCGACGGTTTCTCCTCCGCACCACCGTGCGGTGCCTCATCTCGCGGAGTTTATTCGTAATAATAGCAAGCAACTGACTAACGGATATTTCTCATGCTCATTGACTCATCTTCATCATAAGCATTTGAGCAGTAGTGATAATCTATCACTCATGGAGTTCTTCATACTTTTTATTTCAGTTTCGATAAATACACATGTCAGAGCGAAACACTGCAAAGAACATTTTATTCCTGCCCCGGCATAAATCCTCATAATGAGACAGCATTGTCTGCAATGCTCAATGTGCGAAAATTCTATTTGACTTTCTGTCTCGCGATATTTAATGTTCCTTTCCTTTTTGCTGAATTCTTCGGAATTTGCTTCAAAATTACCACTGATGTATGTGTAGATTCATCATTCGCTATATAGCAGTTATAATTACATGGCATACAAGAGCTTCCATTCATACTTAACACGAAATGCAATGTACCTTGAGGAATTTGCTCACAGAAGCAGGACCAGGAGAAACACGGTAAGCGTCAAAGTGATGGAATGGCAAGACGAAAGAGAAATGGAAATTTTTATTTGGAGAAATGAAAAGATCTCATTTTCACTTCAGGATCATTTCTCGTGCACCTTGATCCAGTGTTTTGCTGTTAGGTACCTCACGCCTCTATTGTCTACTGCTTTAAGGAACCAATGAACCACTGGGGCGTAAATGGATTTTAACCGACCTCCGTAGTGACTGGTGCTTTATGACTACTGCATGCACTGTCGGTAAAATTTTGTAAAAACAAGTTTGAAGAATTGTCTGTTTAATGTCTACAGATCGATAGATATACACAGGTATTCAAATATTTAGCTAATGACCCATAGGAGGTTTGATATTAAACATGTTACTGAGCAGATGCGTTACCGATTGTTTCCGTTTGTAGAATGACTATTATGAAGAAAGTTTGAAAAATGAAGCACAATGAAAATACAGCTGCAGAAAAGAAGTCACGTCTGACCATGCATTCGTTTCCCTACTAACTTTGAAAAGCCTGAAGTATCAAATATCCACAGAACTTCCTGTATTTTGAAATGTAAACGAAGTTTGAAGTGACTGCCATTAAGAAGTTTATAACGGCCTTAAGTACTGAAAATATGGAAATAAAGTTTTTCAACACATTTCAAAAAAGAAACTGCGTTAGACATTTTATACAAACGTTTATAATAGCTTTCACAAATACTATTCACTGAGTTGGACGCAAAGTCGAATGGTAATAAAAATGTGCAATAGAAAATTCAACAAATATAGAGATGCTGATTCTGTGCTTGTCTGAATGATGATCATTCACTTTCTTGGTCGACGGTTCAACGCACACGCAAATTACCTGGACACAACTAAACGTCCATTATTAACCTCGTTTCGACATCTCGAGCCCGTATCACCATTAAGGATAACATACAAATGAAACCGCACTCTGCTAAGGCAGTTTGTGTAGACTTTGAGTAGCAGACTCCGCCACTTTATCAATCTGGCAAGTTAGCCATCATATTCCAGCTATCACTCAAAACAAAACGAGTTCGTACCTGTTACCCAATCGACTTTATTAGCCATGATGCAAATCGATTCTCTGACAAATGGATCGACGTTCACTTTCAGCAGACACATTTCAGGAAAAAGGCATGTGAACGATGCAAGAATGCTGCGACATCACGTGTTTCAGAAATGGCGGGTGTAACTCTAATAGATAATCGTAAAGTTATCTTGTGGATGTTAGCCATTAATGCACTGAGCAGCACAACGAATAACATTTCGTCCCTCTCGGTTAATGAAGTTTTGATTACATTCGTGATCCTAAGGTGTTACCCAGTTTGTAGTGCATTCGAAAATCTTTATTACTAAAGCAAATTTTTCTGACAACTTGGAAATGAACGGAATGATTGAAGTATGCTTTAAATTTGTTTAATACGGGATTTCGGTAATTTTTTCAATAACTTCATTGTCACCGTAACATTGTTACGAAAGCAGTAAAGTTGTTTGTTTTATGTCTTTATTTCTGTGGTATAATCTGAAACGAAGAAAAAAAGTTTGTAACCGTTAGAATGTCGCGTTCCTTCAACTTACATGATGAAGCTAATTCTAGCACGCTTGTTTTCATAAAGTTGATGATGGAAGAGATGATCTCCACATTTACATGTCCTCGGCAGAAGTGCCTAATTTTCAAACGAAGAATTAACAGCAGATACGTCACAAACATAGTCTATATTCTACTGTTTCCTTTTCATTCATTATTCAACATTGCGAGGAAGAGAGGCGAGTAAATCCGATCAGGGCTCGAACCCAAGACTTCTGCTTCGACACAACAAACGGAATAACTGTGGCGTGAAGCAACGTGCGTTAAATTTCTTGCTGAAATGAATTCTGGGTAAAGACGCAGTTTTCCCGTCGCGGGAATTAAATTAGGCACCTCGGATTTCCACCTCCACTTCTTGCGCACGACATTTTATCACCACCGGGATTCAAATCCACGAAATCTGTCACACATTATTTACACTGGAAATAGTAACGCAGAACCGCAAGATCAGTGTTGTTTCTTCCGAAGTGTGAAGCGGATCAAATCTAGAGGAGGGAGGTATAAATAAAATTTTATAAGACATCAACTGAAACAATTACACCATCTTATTTAACTCATAGTTACAACAAATTAAAGCGATTAACCAGCAGCTGATTATTAAACAATCCTCAGAAACTTCTGCGACGGTTTTGCATCCAATGGTGGTTAATCATTTACATGAAAAGCTAAGCATTTTTTAATTTGTTCGCCGTTTAGATGACAAGCTTCACTGCAATCGTGTCCGTCGAGTGGATTACTTATAGATTCCGAGAAATGTAGCAATTAGTGACGTTTGAATTACAGAAAGATATCACTGGTAAGTGAAGGGCAGCGCCACCGCCTTAGCCTAACGGAGCAGGTTCGTACACAACTTCAGTGCCCTTCTGTAGCAGGAGCTCTCCACACATTCAATAACTATATAATGTGAAGATCAGTCCAAGGTATAAAACCCTCTCGTATGAGATCACGAAGCGCAGAGTACTGCACAGAAGCTGCAAATGAGAATGGCATATTAAAGATTACCACCTCCCTGTTCCTAAAGAAGTTTTTGAATTCATATTCAATGTCATACTGTAAATAACTGGATATTAAAGACAAAAAATAAATTCTTTGCCATAAGTGTGCCGTTTTGGCATCGATCGTCGTCAGATCGTAAACAATAAAATCTATAACTGCTAATGTCAGCTTAACCAACTGGCGGAATGTCTGACTCTTTGTTCAATGTGCAATTCATTAGCCTTCACACCGTGAAAGTGCCCACTCACAAGTTTGACGTTGACGTTCTGTGATGTAAAGATACACCGTGATCAATAACTTCATTTTGTTGAGGAATCCATCGACATAGTTTTAAACATCATGACCCATCGGTTGGGCAATAAACGCAGAACGACCAACGTCTAGCTTCGTAACGACTGTCCTGTTTGCCAATTATAATTTTAAGCAGTATAAAGTCATCCCGAATTAAACGAACTTGTAATTATTGCATTCAATTTCATACACCCCATTTTTGCTTTACATGCTACAGCGAAGAACAAGCATTCGGTTCCCTTTGTAAAAAGAGCTTTTCTCTTTATACGATCAAAGGAAAGACTCCATCTTCGGCAACAGAATAATTTTGAATGCTTTCTGATCGGCAGTAGGATTCATGAAGGAGGAAAATTTTCCAACGACCAGTGATCTGCATGTCTGAATGGTAGATATTACGCAAATGCAAATGATATGCATAACAAAGTCCAAAGCTTAGACATCTGACAAAGCTTCGATGTACAGTCATTGCTTCCGCAGACTGAGAGGTCACAGCTGCGGAGGATTCTGCACGCTTTTGACGTTCAAAAAAAGGGCGAAACAGCTACTACCTACGTTACTCAACGTCCTATCGAAGACACCGGGACGGCCCAGAATAAATCCTCCCAAGATCAGGGTATTCTACAGAAGAGCAGACCTAAGTGCAGAATCGGAAGCGTTTAAAAGGATAAGAGGTCAATGGAAACGATAAAAGGTCAGGTGAGCAAGAAATCTAAACAGCTCTCATAAAATAACCAACAAAATTCAGACCACAGAATCAGGCACAACCAGCATATACAGAAGTTCGCAAACAATCGTTTCTTTCATATCTGTTCGACTAATTTAAATTTGCGGCTAGGTTCGAAAGGAACGACGTTAAATGTCAATTTGTATAAGGGAACGTCTTTGCGCCATTCGTACGCCTTCACCATTTCCGGAAGCGAAAAGTCTGGTACTACGTTTTCTGTCGTAATCATCACCGTGCCATCACACATCGCTCGCAGCACTTTGTCGCAATTTTCGTAACTACACGACACCTGCAACCGTAAAAAAGCAGCCGTTACCACAAGGTCTACACCACGAAAAAATGCAGCATCATCGACGTACGTTTACTCCGGGGAAATAATCCAATTTGAACTGCCTGACGAGCACATCATCCTTGTGAGCCGCCATGCCGTCGGTTATGTAGATGCCCCGATAGAAACGCTTTTTATACTTTGAACGAACAGGCACAAATGCTCGGCCTAAAATCTGACGTCAGCGAGGTTAAGAATTCATTCAGGAGAACTTCCGTTAGACACGGAACGACATGGTTGTAGCGATTCAACATCCTCTCAATCAACTGTTCCCTTATGAAAAGATCATGCAAAAAAGGAAAGCCTCTATTCAGTTTCTTGAGGGTAGTAACCATTAATAAATTTAGCCCTTCTCTAAGGCATCGAACCAGATCATAATCAATATTAATTTCGAAGCATGAACTACACTTTAGTCTGCCTCTTTTCAAAACATTCCTCTTATGATAGGCAAAAAATTATGTGCATTTATCGGCTAAACAAAGCAACACAATATGATGTATAATGAGAAAAACTATACAACTTACAAGCGCATGCCAGCCTTGAAACGTCGAGCAACAGTCGATTTGGCAGCATTTTACTGAAGGTTTTACAATATACCTATAATAAATTGGGATTCTTGCAAATCAACAGTAAACAGAGCAAGAGCACGACTCTTCTGAAAATCAAATTCATCATAACAGCAATAACAACAGATTCTTAAAAGCGAAAGAGTACCGCAAAACAAGCAGTAAGGCACGTGACGCCACTTCAGGTGACTGAACTAAAACCGTTCATTTTCATTGTATACTTTTGAACTAGCACATTAATCTTTTAAGACCAGATTTTTTCGGTAATGCACCGTTCCCTTGCTTTCGGTTGTTTAAAAGAACCATCTAATCAGGCCCCCGCTCCATAGTGAACGTAATAATGAAAGTAGTGAACGTAATTTCAGATCTATCATGCACATTTGAAACACAGCTACTTTAAACTATGTTATGAATAGCAGGTTATTACCACTATACGAGAAAAAGGTTCTTAAGACTTTTACATCGCAGTTAAATACGACTCAACTACTCTGGAAGTTGCAACGGAATACCTAATCGACTTCTGCTTTCTTACAGATGACAGATCGAAAGGTTATTTCTCTACCATTCCGGCGGGATAAGGTGAAGAAAATGTTACTTATACTACATACTTTGTAAAAGTGAGTTGGCGGCTTAAGCAGAAGTTGAGAGATCTATCTCTCTACAACAGACTCCAATGTTTGGCTAAAATCATATGTAATGTGATTTCTTGAGCTGAAGAAGCACATCTAGTGTGCAATACCTTGTAAAATTGAACATGCTTTAGAACAGAATTGAAACACATCGTCGACAATAAGAAACTTTCTAGCTCAACGGGTAAAGAATAAAAATGAGTGAAAAGATAATGATCAGAAGTTCGCCAAATTAGCAGTATTCTTATTAAGACCGGTATAAGAACGAGTATGGGTAGTGAGAGTGGCCTATTCCTTCAACCATTCATTCGTTCATTCATTTTGCATTTCCTTTATTTGGACAACCAGCCATTTTTTCAGGTTGAAGATGCAACAGACTCCAACGGTCCTAGACGGTACACAGAAATAAACAGAACATCATTGTTACAACCTGAAAAAAACAGAGACATCCAGAAAGGAAAGCTAATGCTGGACCAATGTGTGGTGTGGTTTCCGTTCAACTGGAGACGCGGAGAATCAAACAGTCACGACAAAAAAACGCATCAATAACTTCCCCGCTTATAGCTAGAAACACTTGTCCCAGATCAATGGTCCAAGTCCTTAAAGTTGGAATACTTCAAGCTTGTTCTGGCGCAAATCAATGCGGAAAAAACAAATCCTAGGAACGCTTACTTAGTTCTACCCAAACTACGGTGAGAAAGGAAAGGTAAGAAGTTGAGGGAAATCCCCCTTCCATTCTGCAGACAACATTCGCTGAACCTTGGATAATTTGACAAATTTGACTATCGACAATGACTCGATTTGGAAACGGGACAAATTTCTTCATGTGCACTGCGCAATGGAAGTATATCGGCATTAATCTCAGACTGATTATTTCGTACATGCTTTAGTAGTCGCACTGAAAACAACACAAAATACTGTCTATTCATACACAATGCAAACAATACGGACATGCGGGTGACTGACCAGTACCGACGTTTCGACCCGTGTCTCTCGGACTCCTGTCCAAAGCAGAAAGGTGAGTTGGCTTCTGGCTCCAAGCGTACACGGCAAACAAAAAGAACTTCCGAAGAAAACAAACTTTTTGATCTTGAAGAGGGCCAATGAGACATGGGTCGAAATTTCAGCACTAATCAATCATCCGATTGGCCACATATATGCATCGTATATACATAAACGGTATTTTATACCATTTTAATCAGCATCAAACAAGGCTACCCGTAACCTGTAGACCGAACATGCTGCGTCTTGAGAGACTGGGGTCATTATCCCACATTCGACGACTATCGAAGCTTAGCCAAAGGATGAAGCTATCCCGAACCACCAAAAGCAGGCCTTCCTTGTCTCTTCTACGAAACGCATTCATGGACATCATAAAAAATGGATACCAAGAAAATTTCGCGATATTTTCGACCAAATTCAAAGACAACGTTTGAGTAAGGAAGAAAACGGGTTAGCTGGAAACAGAGCGAAAATGATCTACTATTATCGATCAAGTGAAGCGTCTTCCAGACGAATCACCATGGAGAAAGGCACTGAACGATCCCCGGAAGCAAAGTTTAGAACAAACCCATTCCTATGTTCAACGTTCATTACTGGAGCTGGTATTCTTTTCAGTTTTAAACGCAATATAGGCTGGTGCCAACTGTTTTAAATTTCCATCTTTTATTTTTTTCATTTTACTTAATCATCTACGGCACTCTCTGTCGTCAATTAAAAATCGCTTCACTTCGTGATTCCGTCCCTTGCCGACCACGGCATTGCCGGAACCGTAGACTTTTGACCTGTTTTCTCCATCAGTGAAAATATTTGGCTCCCTACATTCCGGCAATACGGTCAAACATACTGGACAACGTAGTACTACACTACGGAAAATGAGCAGAACTAAACTCAGCAGAAACCTTTGGCGCAGTGGCTGAGATCAGTTTCGAACTTGGAGGTACTTGGTTCGAATAAATAAAATGGGGAAACCTGTCTAAACTGTGAATTCCCTTGTGCAAGAAATTACAATAAATGAACCCTACTTATTTTGGCATAATCATCGGAGGCACGGGTAGTAAGCATGTGAACTGCGAACACCAGAACAGGAACAGCATGCTGCTCTGGTCTGGTCGCGATGTTGATGGACGATGAGTACATTGTCCAGGAGAACACTCCTTGTTGATGCACTTCGTTTTGATCACCTGATATGTGCAAATATCTGATTATGCAGTGTTGTATTCAGCAAATGAAGTATTCCCGAAAAACGATTGAAGCTGACAAGCGCTAAAAGCGAGCCACGTTTCTGAATAACTGAACTGCCTTTGAAAATTAAAAGCATTCGCCTAAACAAAAATGAA